TGTGGTTTAACAGTAACATCTCTGGCATACCCATCAGATCTCTTAGCCATAAAGGTGCAATGAATTCTGTCCAACTCCAACTTATGATCTTCCACTCCAGGTAATAACTCTTTCATAAAAAGCTTCACATTTGAATCCAAATCAGTCACTGTTTCAGGGAGCCCCCTGATACGGAAATTGTAGCGGCGTGATCTATTCTCCAAATCGTCAACTTTAGCAGAAACTTCATCCAATTGATTTTGAAGATGCCGTATTATATTTTGATTAGTATACTGTATAGTTTTATCTAATATTGCCTCCATAGAGTCTATGCGCATACCCAAATCTTTAATATCAGATCTTATCTCTGTGGTAATTTGCTTAGCCATCTTGTTCAGCCCCTGTTCCAGCATGTCAGAAAACTGAGTTAAGATATTATCACCTTCTATCCCTCTCCCCAAATCCCCCCCTGCATCAGCATAGAGGGGGCTGCTGTGACAGAAGCATGTCTTCTAAAGTCCTCTCAATTAATGAAGACGTTGAGGCAGGAGAGTGCTCTCTATGGGTACTCACCGCTGCCTTGTTCGTGGAAGCCGACTCCTCATTTCCTCTATTCTGTGAGGTATCGTTGCCCCCACGAGGGCTCGACACCGCCGCCATCTTAGTCCTATTGCTTGCCGTTTTCGAGTCCTTCTTTTTAGATGGTCTCCCGGCCATCGCGAGCTGCCGGTCCGGTAAGGGGAATCCCTCCAGCTCTCCCCACTATACGCTGCCGGTTCTATTTGCTGCGGGAGCGGGGGTTCAGATCCGTCCTAGGAGCGGAGCTCATGGCGCAGACATCCGGCCTGCTGAACTCCGCGCATGCGCCCTCCGTTAAGGGATAGTTTAGTTTAGGCCATCTCTGGCAACGTCCAGCAGGCAGTTCAGACTCTACAAGACTTCGGAGGGATTCTCAACAGATGTTGTGGGACCTGACTTACTGCTTGGAGTACCTAAGCCTGGTACTGGACACAGCCCTGTCCAGGGTGTTCCTCTTACAGGTGAAGCTTCTGTTGCTTAGGTCACATGCTCGGACCCTCTGGTTCAAGAGCTTTCCCTCAGTACACTTTTTTACATAAGGTTTCTGGCCGGATGATGGCCTCCTTCGAGTGGTATAAGAGGACTCTGGATCTTTCCATTCACTTGACCAGTGAGAGGGCTTTTATTTCATACATGGTTTTCAGTAAACTCCCTGCTCTTGTTCTGTATGATACCTTTGCAGAAGGAAACAAATGTTAAAAAAATGTATTTAACACTTTACTGTTGTCCAAACCTACAAACACCTAGGGTGACCATGGCACTCTTTTGCTCCTTCATGGATACAGCACAGTGAGTAACCATTATCACCCTAACAGAAACGGTGTTACAGGCAGCATCAGGTGAAAAAGTTGGAAAAATGCCATCAGTTGGGCCACAAAAAATAATTATTTTATTTAATAACTTACGTTCACCTCTTCTGGCTGTTTTCTGTTGGGGGGAGGCTGCAGAAAAACACACGTGTGTGTCTCAGCTGGTTGCTGGGTCCTCGCGGCCGAGGCCCAGGGCTGCCTCCTGAAGTGCTTGCCGTTTTTTTAACATTCTCTGCTCCCCTCTCAGTATCTGGCGGCCCCCATCATCTCTTCGCCGGGAGTGTCGGATCATCTGACACTCCCGGCGCAGAGCTGGGGGGGCCCTGGCGGGCCCCCCATCTCTGCCCCGGGGCTGTGTTAGATTGGATACTGAGCCCCCCTTTAGGCTCAGACCCCGATGCAGCTGCACCGGCGCTAGGTCCGCCCCTGGCAAGTCTGCTACACACCCTAAATGCTGCAGAAGCTGCGTGAAGTCAACGTTCACGCTACTCAAACACATAAATCTACAACTACTTCTAAATGTTCCAAATCACCAGATGGGTAGTAGTTAAATAATGAAACACTGCTGTAGATTGAGGGCATAAAATGTTTTCCACACAGCACTAATATCATACACTAATTCAATGGTGCTAGCTTAAAGGGCCAGTAAAAAAAACTGGGTAGATTAGGAAGCTATTCAACTCAAGTGCCAAATCATAGTTACATAGTACTTGGGGTTGAATAAAGACACAGGTCCATCAAGTTCAACCTATGCGAGTGTCTCTGTGTACTAGTCACCTGTACCCCTGTATGTTTTGTTCTCTGAGGAAAGTACCTAAATGGTTCTTGAATTATTTAATACTCTCTGCTGATACCACTGCTTGTGGAAGGGAGTGCCTCAACTTTACTACTTTAACAGAAAAGAATCCCCTTTACCCTTTGTGGTTTAAACCTTTTTTCCTCCAATTCAAATGGTGGTCCCTTGTCGTCTTTAGTGAGTTTACAGTGAAAAGTTTATTACTGATCTTATCATCATCATTAAACAGTTTGTACATTACAATCATGTCCCCTCTTAACTGCCTCATTTCCAGAGTGAACACATTTAAATTTTTCAATCTTTCTTTGTAACTTAGGTCTTTCAGACTCTTTATCAGTTTTGTGGTCCTTCTTGGACTCTTTCCAGTTCAAGGACATCCTTTCTGTGGATCAGTGACCAAAATTGAACCTCATAGTCTAGATCAAGCCAGACTTATTGTTCTGTACAGTGGCAAAATTATTGCTTTGTCTCTAGAGTACATTTTTTTTAATGCACAATAGTATTACGATAGCTTTCTTTGCTGCAGCATGGAATCGCATGCTATTACTAAGTCTTCAGTCAATTATGACCCCCCCCCCCCCCCCAATCTTTTTCCATTTCTGACTTCCTCAGGAGGGTTCCCATTAATGTGCAACCTGCATGCCTATTTTTAACACCAAGATGCATTACTTTACATTTTTCATTATCAAACCTCATCTGCCATGTAGTTGCCCACTCCCCTATTTTATTTAGGTCCTCCTGTAATGTTAGGTCTACTCTTGAGTTTATGACCCTGCAAACTTTCGTATCATCAGAAAACACTGAAATATGGCTTTTAACACCTCCCCCAATATCAATAATAAATGTGTTAAATAGGATCTGGCCTAACACAGAACCCTGGGGAAAGCCAATCCCAACCTTAGACCAATTAGAAAATGAGGCATTATCCATTCAGAAATTGAAATATATCATATTGTCATCACAAATACTATATTTTGTATAGAATGAGTTAAGGTTCATTTGTGTCCTTGCTGGGGACATTTCTAATCACTTCCTATAGTTGCACCTGTTGTCAAGACAGGCAGAGCTGGGATCTCTTCAGGTTCTTCACCGAAAGACGGACAATAGTTTAACCCATCTGCACACTTCTAAAAACAAAAGCCTTTTATTACCTTCTGCCAGTTGTCCCAGTGGCTATGCTGAAAGTGAAGTGAAGACATAGACAGCAGTAAAACCCAGGCAGGGCTTCTTCTCCTGTTTACTAACCAGACTAAAAGGAAAAGACTTTGACTTCCTCTGTCTGCATACAATTAGGCTGCATTCACACCTAAGCTACACCTATTACGTGCGTCTTTGCGATTTTTATGAGCAGATTGCAACATATCCATGGGTAAACGTGCTGAATCTGCTCAAAAGTAATTGCAATGCACATTTTGCAAGCGTTTTCCGTTATGTCAATGGGGAGAAAACGTGCTGAATCTGCCCCAAAGCAGCTCATGTAGTAGTTTGTGCAACAGGCATATTTCTGCTTTTGACAAAACTTCCAGGTGTGAACAGGGGCCATAGATCTGAATGGGATTACTGGGGTCGAGCATTTTGATATACATTACGCTTAGGTGTGAATGGCGCCTTAAAGCATGTCTTTAAAATGTTTCTGCAGGCCTCTTTTGGTTCTGGCTAAGTTGGTACAGCAGGTGCATTTTCCCAGTTAGTAACTATTGCCATGGTGCTTTTTACAGCAAGGAGTGCCTATTGAAAAATGGCGGCATTGAGTGGGGTGCACTTGCTTGTAGAGAAGAATAGAAGCATAGGGTGGGTGGACAACATTTTTAATAACAAGCACGATACATCATTCCTTCCATTGGGCACTTCCTGTCCCTACATGTTATACTAATATAGTAAATAAAAAAAAGAAATGTACATATTAGACTACAGGACAATTACTTTGAAAAGAAAAAAAAATCCCCATTTCAGACCATAAAATATTAAGATTGTGCCAAAATGCATGTCCACGAGCACACAATAATTAACATTGTATACAAAGTCCTTGTTTTATCCCTTTTTTTTTTTTTTTTTT